AACTTCACAATGAAGATGGCAAGTGAAGGGAACCAAACGTCTTCTTCAAGTGTTCAACGGACTGCTACACCCTACATCGGCTGCTAATCCATTCACCCAGACGGTAGCTGTTTATGTCCAAGGCGAGAGACCGCCTAACAATGGATCTGATTTCAAGATAGGTGGCCGCAAATTATGCTTTTCTACTTCAAAACTCTCCCCCTCTCTCGTTTTCTTTCAGAGGACTCTTTGATCGTCCCCGAAAGTGAGACCGACGTCCAAGTGTACACCTCGAATGTTCGGCATCATAATGATTTCTTATGTAGAAATCTCATACTTGACGGGTTAGACCACACACTATAATATGTGCATAGCCTGGCTAAAATGTCTACGGAGTTGTAGAACTCTTTGGAAGGTAACATACAAAATGGAAGACAATGACACAAAAAAGATTTTTGTCGGTAAATTCCTTAAGTACGATACATTTGACAAAAGTTGGCGGTTAATCAAGTTCAAGAGATTCGAATCATCCTTCATGATATGTGTGTGTCCCATTTTTTGTTGCATTTTCGTTATTTTTTTGCCTTTATTTTTTTCCAATTTTAGGTATTTTCTTTGGTTTTTAGTCTGTTTTGTGGTTTGTTGCGTGTTTTCATATATTTTGGAATTTTCGGTATTTTCATTTATTTTCTCAGTTTTTTGCGTTTTTCTCGTCGTTTGTGGTGCGTAGGTTGAGTGCCTCGGTCGGTTATGATTTGAAGGAGAAAATAGTTTTGTGATCTTATATGTAGAAGGGTTCGTTGGCGACCAGTAGGAAAAAGCGGAACTCAATTCTAAGTTCAGACGAACTCAAACGAACCCGAAACGGAAAGCTGCGCACAACACCCCCACGCCTCACCCAGCTTGCCCAGGCATCTCCAGCATGACGCACCGCGTTGCCTGGGCAGACCCACGCGTCCCCGAGAAGTCCCGCGCCTGCTCGCTCGCACTGCCAGTTTTCATCGCCGCGACCCGTGACGAGGCCCGCGCCCGTGGAATTCTTCTGCGCCTGGACGAAGCTCACGCCCGCAGAGCTCTGCATCACCGCGACTCGCATCAAGGCCTGCGCCCGGGGACTGCTGATGTGCCTGGGAGCTCACGGCCACAGAGGGGACTCGCAGCCTGCGGAGGGCGTGACCATATTTTTTAAAAACCCGTTTTTGCTTGATTTTTCGAGCACTTTTCATTGAGATTTGTTCTCGGGTCTAAATATTCAACTACAATCTCAGTTTTTCACCTTTTTTCTCTCTTATTAAAGTGTTTAATAATAATAATGAAGAAAAAAAAACAACTCCATTAGAGGTGACAGAGAAATATATTTTATTAAATTCTTAAAAATCAAGGACACGTCGAGTCTAATCAGAAAGAAAAAAAAAATAGTAGCTAAGGAATGAAAAGTGAAATAACTTTGCTTGTTTATGAATCTATGTACAGTGTTAAAAGTCCAAAGTGTCACCATCTTAACACACAAGCCAGTGTTTTAAATACAGTGTTTCAATAAATATTAAATTAATTTTTTATTATAATATAAATAATGTACAAAATAAATTTTAATTAATACTAAAATTAATTAATATCTAATAATAATGTAAATATATTAAAATTAAGTGTAATATTTTTATTTTATATAAATAAATTACGTAAAATATTTTATTTTTTTTTTAAAATGGGCATAAACCGGTATTTGCCGGTAAAACCGTTATTTTGACCAAAACGTTATTTAGAGTGTAATCGTACCGGTCGGACCACCGGTATCCGATATTACCAGTAATATCGACCGGTACGGTACGATATTTAAAATATGGACACAAACTAACAAACTAACATTAACGAGACTTGATAAATTAGAAAATCAACTTTTAACAAAAAGTTTAAATATGGTTCCGTCAAGTATTCTTACTCTCAACGTGGATGTCACATGACGTACACTACAAAAAAAAAAAATATAATATTTCTACGGAAAATCCTACGATGATATATTCTACTAAAAATTTCAACGGATTTTCCAATGGTATATCTTCTGTTGGAATCATTCCAGAGTTTTCCATTGAAATTTTAGATGAAATGTGATTATTCCAATGGCTATATTTTCAACGGTTTTTTACCATAGAATTTCTATTGGAATATGCAATTTTTGTTGCAATTTTTATTTCCACACCCGTTAGAAAATCTACCATTGGAATCGTCAAAATCCAATGAAAAACTCATTCCAACGAATATATTTGTTGGAATTTCCATTGGAAGTCATCGGAAAATTTCAGCGGAAATAAAAAGCATTGGAATATTCACTGGAATCGTCGTTGCAATTCCATTGGAATATACTTTTGTTGGAACTTTCCATTAAAATTTTTCATCATTTTCTTGTAGTGGTTATAATTGCAACTTTCATTAGATCTAAGGGAGATTCGCAATTAAATTTTTCGATTTCCATCGCCTTATACTCCATTAAACCATAATCCACTTGGGCACAAGTGGAATTCTTATTACCCCATGTTTTTTATTATAGAAAAATTTGTATTACCCCATTATTGATACTCAATTTGGCTCCGATTAAATAAATGATAAATAAAATAATAAAGTACACCCCAATAACCAAGGAGCTGAAACTACATGATAAATAAATATACAAATAGGTACACAAGACTGATCATTTAAAAGGCGACCGGGTCCCTAGATGGCGAGTCCGCCCGTTGCCGAGCTGAATAGAATTTGAAGTAATCGAATGTCATACATGTCATAAAGAAGTCGCCTCCGGTAGACGTCACAATTGTCGGCATCCACTTGTAAAAGAGGGATGTATATATATAGTGAAGAGGAAAGAGAGAGAGAGAGAGAAGAGATTTTTTTCATTCCTCTTCTCCCCGACAACAAAGAAAGGGAAATACTCTCTCTAAAAAAAGAAGAAGACACCCATTTTTAATGATTTTAGTTCTTCAATCAAGAAATTCGACTTATATTCGATGGTTGATCGTCTGATTTTGGACATCAACACCAACCCATATTTGGTGTAATTTTAGGTATATATGCGTGTTAATATCAAAAAATGTCCTGTAAATTTTTATATGAAAAAATGGAGAAGAAGATGATAGATGATGATTTTTTTTTCTTTGCTCTTTTGAGAGTTTTTTTGCCTCTCTTCTATAATGGAGAGCTCCCTCAATAATGAAGACCCCCTCCCTTTTACATGCCTCACAAGTGGGCAATAAAAAATAGAAAAATAGTACAACTAGTGGGCAATAAAATAACAGAAAAGTAGTACATTAGCATTTAATGTGAGATGACCTCGTGGGGTTCAATTATGACGTTTGGCGGCTTCCTTATGGTATCCGATCGATCGATCATTTTAACTTCTTCTTAGCTCGGATGTGGACGATCTTAACGTCTGAGGGTTCGATCGATATCAAATAATCAGCTTAGAGAACCGGCTTTCTATATATTTATTTATTATATATTTTTGGCCCCATTTATTTCTCCATGTGTCACTCTTTTATTAGTCGTGACCAAATTGGCTATCAACACACACACACACACACACACACACACACACATATATATATATATAGAAGTAGAATCATATAAAAAAGAATTGAAAGAAATAAGAATGAATCCTAGCCGTTGGATGTGATATATCAACGCTCCAGGCATGGTCAAATGGTCCAACTTTAGTCAAACACGCAGTAACATTCATGTAAATGTGTGAACTTTTGTTTTTCACGCGAGGGTATTTTAGTCATTGCACACAATGCACTATTACGCTAAAGTGCAATCTGTCAGGCACTGTTGTGCAGTCTGTGTAACAACATTGTGCAATCTGTTGTGTGAATATTTTTATGTACAATTTAAAATAGGGTTAATAACTTTTTCCCATTTGAACTTTCACGGTTTTGGCGCATCACCATATGAACTTTTTTTTTTTTTTAACAAACCACCATCTCAACTATACGGGTTTGTCAAATTACCCCCTAAACCGGATAAAAAAGTGGTTTTGACAAAAAAAAAGCTGATTTTTAATGGCATATTTGAAAATTCGTATAATTTTTAGAAAAAAAAATGAAAAACAAATGGTCGGCTTCTTGTTGCTGCACGGCCTCCGCCTCAGCAACCCCCACGTCCGCCGCGTCCTCGGCTCCATCTCCGCCACCGCTGCCACGGCGTTCTTCCTCAAGATGATGACCTCCATTAAAAATGGAGGCGCGACCGTCGTGAGCTTCAAGGACATGAGGGACACGCTCCTCAAGTTCTCGGGCCTACTTCCATTCCCGCCGTCCGACGTGGTGGCGCTGCTGCTCGATCGGGAATCCACTGACTACAAGATCTTTCAAGAATATTCTCACGACGTATTAAATTTAGACAGAATAATTGTGGACACATTCGAGAGTTTGGAGGTGATGTCGTGGGCCCCACAGGTGGCGGTGAGGACGAGCGTGCCGATGTTGTTGTGGCCGCTGTACACGGAGCAGAAGCTGAACCGGGCAGTGTTGGTGGAGGAGGTCCAGCTGAGAATGGAGATGGCGGAGGATGGGTTAATTTGTGGCGGCGGAGGAGGTAGAGCGGCAGTTGAGGAAGCTGATGGGGGAGGCGGAGGGGGTGAAGAGGGTGGTAAAGCAGAGCTTGGAGGCGGCGGTAGCCATGGCAGAAGGAGGTTCACCAAGCCGGCCGACGCTGGGGGAGGCGGTGGTGACGTTAGCGAAGGTGAACCCGAGGGTGCCTCCGGCAAGCGACAGCTCACCAAGCCGGCCGAGGAAGGCGGTGGTGATGGAGATCTCGCGGAGCCCATCGCATGCTGATGTTTTCTTTCTTAATTTTTTTTATTTTTCTTTTTTTAAAAAAAATTATATGAAATTCATTAGATGCCCTCACAAATCAGCTTTTTTAAGTGAAAACCACTTTTATATCCGGTTTAGGGGGCACTATGACAAACCCGTATAGTTCAGATGGTGGTTTGTAAAAAAATAGTTTATATGGTGATGCGCCAAAACCGCGAAAGTTTAGATGGGATAAAGTTATTAACCCTTTAAAATATGATATTGTGCAATGCGCTGAACATTAATGTGCAACTATCAACTTCCATTAATTTACAAATTTAATCCATGAACCAAATTATAATATAGTTAAAGTTTCTTTATTTGCAGATAAGTCTCTTGAATATATCTAATTTATGCCAACCCAGACCTAGTATGTATGCACGTTTAATTTTCCCTCATCCGTATTTTCCCCAGTCGGATTTTATATGTTGATTTGGGCACGTGCATAAGTATCAGAAAAAGAGAAGTAAGTCAGTAAGTAAGTAGCATCCCGCAAGTTAGTAAGTTTAAACGTTTTTCGAAAACAGTTGCAGTATATTTCGAAAATAACCGCGAAAATTTTACCCAGTTTTTCGTGAGTCAAAGTTATAGTAGGCGGGGTGTTACAGCTTGCTTAGTCTTATCCACAATTTCTGAACAGTTTCCCAATCCCTATATGTGTTGTTTGTTTCCATTATTCGGCCTAGGTGGACAGCGCCGATGTCGGGGAGGGTGGAGATAGCCTCCTCGCCGGACATCATCGAGCGGGATTTGGAAGGCGGTGACAGCGGGAGTGCGCAATGGTGGATTTGGACGGGGCGACTGAGGAGGAAGATGACGTTAGCGGCGGCGGGATTTGGACGACGACCATGAGTGGCGTCGACGAGGAGTGGGTCACGCCGCCATGTCTGACAACGTGATGGTCGTTGAGCTCCTGGTGAGGCTCCACCACACGATGCCGCCTTTGCTCGGGCGGGCTGGGATGCTAACAGCGACAGAGGGACTGGCGTGACGGATGAGGAACACGGGCGGCGACGATGGGGGGTTAGCTGGGGCAGCAGCGAAAATCTCAGAAATACGGGGATGGGGAAAAATAGTGGAAGAGAGAGGGAGATGCGTTGGTGGATGGGACCCACGGGTGGGTATGATAGGTGGGTGTTTGGGTTGGGATAGGGGATAATGTCTAATATGCCCTTAATGAGTGTAAAATTTGTAATTATTTTTTGTTGTTGGATGATCAGACTGTATGGCTAAGATGCATTCTTGTTTTTTTCACTAAGCACCATCATAAAAATTGTAGGTATATATATATATATATATATATATATATATATGTATATATATAATTGTAGGTTATACAATTAATGCAAATCATAAAAATTTTCTGCTCATTTGTTGCAATTAATGTGGAAGAAAATCGTTACTATTTACAATAATTAACTGTTAAAATTTTAATAAGCTATTTTATTGTATAAAAGTTACCACTAATAGTAACTAATTATAAATTTACATTAATTCGTTTTAGTTGCATAATCAGACCCCTTAAAATCACATAAACAATTGATAAGAATAATAAAACTAATTGTAATATTTTTTCAACTAATTAATTTATTATTGTTCCTCTAATTTATAAAAGTTACATTATTTATTACATTTCATGTCATCAATATAATGATTCATGTGCAAGTTAAATAGTTTATATTTATATAACTCATTTGCTAATAGTCAATATTTTAAAATGTGATGCACCGGTTATCTAATTTAAAATTCTAAATATTATATACATGCGTGTAATATGTAAATTTTTGTTTACATATATGCGTGTGCATACGATTGAGTGCTAGTAATCAATATTAGTCTCATAATTTATAAAATAATAGAAAACGTATACATAGAATGTCAATATCCTAACAAAATTTGTCCTCAATATTGGTTTAAAAAATTTACAGAATGTAATTGATTAATTGAACACCTTTTGATTCACACTTAACAGAAAACAATTCTTTTACTATAAATAAATGATATCAAAAAACCTAGGGTTTGGTCATTTACCATTTGTAGTTGGAACAATAATGGTGGATTATATTTCAAGACTTGGATGGATCTATCATAAAATCATTTTTGGAATTCTATAGGTCAATTTACAAACATACTTAACTGATTGGTATATAATTGCAAAACTACTGAATGAAAAACTTATTTGCACATTTTCTTAATCTAACGTAAGTATATAGATTAATACTTGTTGTTACAAACACATCATTAAACAAGAGAATTACCTTATGAATCCCGTAATTGATGGAATCATTCCATTATTAAA